CATTGTGGTGCAGTGAGGTGCAGGAGGTAGTGCAGGGACATGCATTGAGCTGCAGTGAGCTGCAGGAGTCAGCGCAGGGACATGCATTGTGTTGCAGTGAGGTGCAGGAGGTAGTGCTGGGACATGCACTGGCAAGCACCTTGCTGCACAACTGGCAGCATTGCCCTGTGTAGTGTCAGATTGTGTCGGCCTCCTGGTTTGCAACAACAAGATGCACTGGGTTCCCTCAGGCTGCGTGTGCTTCACCACAGCGACTCCCATTAGATTGCGATGAGCTGAATGTCCTTCAGAGCCACGTAAGCTGGTGTTTTCAATGGGCCTAAGAGCTTATGCACCCAAGTCCCATTAAAAGCCGCTGCAAGATAGGCCCCTAACGCCCCTCAGTCGTGGGTAACTCTGCCCTGGCTCCACTGGGAGGCTCGGGAGCTGCTAATGAGCTCTCCCAATGCTTCAGCCCCTGGCCGTGCACCATGTCTGCCTGACATGACCGACCCTGACATCTCCCCGGGCCCCTGACGCAGGCCCTCTGCTTGCAGGCTACAGGGAGGTGCTGTCTTCTTCAAGGTCGTGGGTATATTGTGCCATGGGGAGCGGATCCCTGCCTGGAGTATGCAATAAGGGTGAAACTCAGCCCTGGGCAGAGGGCCCGGGGCCAGGCCTAGACACCCAGCGAAGCCCTGGGAAGCTAGGTCAGCTTACCTGTGGCACTCAGGGGAGTGAATTCTCTCCTGAGCAACACAGCAAGGCCGAGCTCCATTTTCAGCATGGTAAGAAGAGTAAAGTTCTGTCCCTTCGCTAATTAAACGTGCTCGAGAGCTATCGCAGTGTGATCGATGCGAGAGGGAAGCAGGCCCTTTATCTGCAGTGGAAGGGTCAAGCACAGGAACCTGGCTTTGGAAAGACTCTGCATATTTAGGAAACGTTTAGGGACGGGCACCCTGAGCAGGGCTGATCAAAGGCCGATACAGGAGCTCTCTGTGTTGCATAGAAAAATTGGAGGTACAGGCGCTCTGTGTATTGTTTAGCAGATCTGAGCGTTGCATAGGGAAGCAGTAGGTGTGTTGCTTAGCAAAGCTGCAGACACAGGCGCTTTCTGCGTCGCCTGGAAGAGG